CACAAACAGTCAGGGTTTTCAGTAATTATGATCTTGCCGTGTCTTTTCTACCCGATCTTCCTGATAATTGTAATTTGTAATTTTATTAATTTAACCTTTGACTGGAAATAGTCCTGGAATCTTCTCACTCATTTGCTGTAAATACACGAATGTACAGCCTAGCCGATGAATTCGACGAAAAGAAAACTTTCTTCTCTGCAACCGTCTTTTTAAGCAGAGAATAATAACATCCGACTAGATCGAATACACATTGGTTTTGTATAAACCATGTTAATAAAAACTTCAATGATCATTACTGTAATAAAGGAAATTTGTATCAAGAAACTCAGATTAGTGAATATGTAGCTTTTTGTCGGTCTAGTAAAAAATGAACTGAGTAATTGGCTGATCACCGGGGTAACACTGGAATAAACTCTGTCACTCGTCTTACGCTTAGTAGTGCTGAATAGATTCTTTCAGATGATTTGCAGTATGACCATCAGTCTAGAATGTTCGCCGTTGTGTTGTACATTTCGAATTATTGTTAGGTAACTGGAAGTTATCGGAGGGAAACCCTAGACATTGGTTTCATTTATTTATGGATAGCTGGGAATGTTCAGCTCTTAGAACGTTTAATCCTGCTCCGAGATGATGGTGAAGATATGTGGATGACACATTCACTGTGTTGAAATCTGAACATATCCCTCATTTTTTTGACACACATAAACTCAATAGAAGACGGAATCCAGTTCACTTCAGAGTTAGAAAATGAACCGTATGAGTTGGTCATGCTAGACTGTAACATAAAACAAAAACAAGACGGTGGGTTATATTCTAGCATTTATAGGGAAGAGATACACTCTAATAGGTGCTTAAACTTTAATTCATCCCATCCAGAATCTGTAAAGATAGGTTTAGTTATTTTGATTGGACACTAGCAACTAGTGTGACGTGTCTAGTCCTTTCTTTGGTGCAGACTGAAATCTACCAGTCAGGTTTGCAATGTGGCCACCATTCTAGGGTGCTCGCCGTCACGGTGCACACTGATTTAAACAAGCAATAAAGGTTAATAAAGCAGGATTTAATGAATTCACACTGATTTGATGACATTAGATAGTTAGAGGCAATCGGCATGAAGACTTGAACCTAGGTTTCGTACTAGTTGGCACTCATCAGTAAGGCGTGTCTGCAACCTTGAAGGAACTCATGTCCTTTCAGAAATTCGGCCACGAGTTACACAGTGCTGCAGTCAGAGACGTTACCGCTGAGCTATTCCTGCACAGTTATTCAGGTTTAGTTAAATACCTATATAATTGGTCCAGGAGCCTAACCAGCGAATCAAAAGATTTAAATAATGAAATCAAACAAATAAATGAAATATCAATAGTGAATCACTACCCCCAGAATTTAGTCCAAAATGTATGAAGACCCACGGGAAAAAATAAGACTCATAGTGAAAGTTACAGAAACAACAAAAATAATGCGGAATTCAAGGAGTCTGTAGTACTACCATATAGAGAAGGAACATCAGATGCCTTATGTAGGATTCCCAATGACGCTGGAATTAAACGAACGAACTACCCAGAGATGATAACTGATAGAAGTGTAATGCAGTTACCTAGAGATAAACGTTGTCGGCTTAAAGACTCAATAGATACAATTAAGAAAACCAATATAGTTTACCGAATACCATTTAATGACTGTGAGGTCTATTACATAGGTCAAACTTGTAGATCGGGGTTAACTAGATTATTGGAACATTTAAATTTAGCTAGACCTAGAATAATTGATCCTGCCAAGTTAAATAGCCTAGAAGAAAGCTCAGCCATTGCACTTCATTCACTTGCATGTAATCACAAAATAGGGCGGGACAGAGTTAAAGTATTAAAAATTAATATAGTTAGGTGGAGAGAGAGGTAATCACTGAAGCTTTGTTTATCGATTCAACAGCGCACACGTGCAATCGGAATGATGCGACGCTTATACCGGAGATATGGAAAGTGACAACAAACAACATTTGGAAGATGGAGAGAGACAAAGAGGAAAAAACGCCATCCCGTTATTAATGCTCCATCATTTTGTGACATTTGAAATTGGAATTACATTCTACCACAGTGCCTAGGTTCTACGTAGTCATTTATTCAGGTTTGAATAGTTCATTGACAGTGGCATTAGTTACAATGCTTAGTAATGTTGGCTAGAATCTCAGAGGGGATGTCCGTTCCTCTACAGATGCAAGTACGTCTTGCTGACTAGTGTCAGCAGGCAAGAAATTTAAGTTCAGGGCTTCCTGCCAACTGCTCATCACCTAATGATTATCCGAACATGCTCACTTTCCAATATCAGCTACAGAAAAACTGAATTCGTAACACGGGATATCTGTCGTCAAAGATTTTGTAGACCACTTAAATTACCCATCAGGAAATCCAAGAGAAAATACAGGCCTTTTTCTCCACATTTCTTTGATTCCTCTTCCCTCCGAGTTGGACAGTGAACCTCAAGCTCTAAGCTTCTAAGTCTCATTAGAACTTATGTTGCTTTTACGAAATGTGTTTGCTAGCCTCACACCAAACCTTTCTTTTTTCTGGGAACAGTGGCTGCTGGGTGAGGCTTAGGAGTGTGTTGGCCGGAAACGGAACCTGGACAGCATGCGTGGTTGGCGAGAATTTTAACCCTTGAACCGCTTACGCACACATTAATCGCTGAAAATGTATTAATTACTTCACAGAGTTATAGGAGCAGACATAAAGAATGGAGACCACGGGTTGCGAACGCAACAATAACCTTAAGTGCGTACCGTTCTTTGGATTACAGAACCTGTCTTGAATTCTACATAAAAAGCCTCTTATTTACAAAGAAAATTAACAAGATATTAGTAAAACATATTAAAGACGATATTTTAGCTTGATGTACCTGAAAAATAGTTCCCAATTACAAAGAAAGGTATCAGTTTTCAAGTTCCACAGGCGTCTAAACGGTCTCATCTGTATGAACTAGGAAATACACTTCTCTCATATATATTTATTTACAAAAATTACAGTCAATAATAAAGCACCCTGATCCGTTTCCTTATATCTTACACACACTTAGACACTAACCGAAACGTGCTATCGACCCATTATCCAAAAAGTACTTAAGAACGAGACCAGGATGAAATTTGCACCTCAGTTCGTGCACAGCGTTCGTACTAACACTGGAATACCGGCAGGTTCTGTAATTCAACAGTTGAAATGCGTCCAGAGTGATTGGTGCATTCGCACTTTATGGTTGCTATTCTTTTGGTTGGCCCCATTTATTTTAGAAAGACATTTCCATAATACTGTAGGCAAAGAGGAATACAGATTTGCCTGCAAAATAAACTTATGCAGGACCATTATTATTGTCTCCTTTAGTTCCTGGAGGAATATAGGGCTTCAGCCACACACCTCCATTGAGTTTGGTCCTCCACCAACGTTTTCACCTGGCTTCAAATCTGCCCATATGCTTTCTTCTCCTCTTCACATGGCTTCCTCCATGTCGCTTTCAGACGACCAAATCGCCGCTTCCCATTTGGGTTCCAGTTCAAGCGATGGACTGGTATGTGATATCAATTGGTTGTTTGTTTTCTAAGAGTATGGCCAATCTACCTCCATTTCTTTCTGCATATTTGTTGCACAATTGTTTCCTGGTTGGTTCGTTCCCAGAGATCCTCTTTTCTGATATTTTCTGGCCATCTGATCTTGAGTAGTATTGAGTGAAGCCAGCTATTGATGAAAGTCTTCAGTCTGTTCAAAGTGCCCTTCGTAACGCTCCAAGTCTCTCATCCACTGACTTCACACTGGAGTTGGAAATCCGGATCTCATTTTCATTTTCATGCTGAGTGCTCTTGATCTCCTCCACACAGACTTGAGAGTGATAGAAGCTTGCCTTGCTTCCACGATCGTCACTTTGGTATGCTCGTGAGTTCTGTCTGCCTGTAGTTGAAACGAGGCTTCCCAGGTAGGTAGAGAGGTGAAGGAGGTTGCTTCTTTCAGATTTCTCCCATTTATGCTGGCTGATTGTTGTCTGTTGTTGTTGTTGCTGTTGGCGGTGTTGCCCAGAAATCTCCATCACCTCTGTTTTCTCTATGTTCACCTGAAGTCCTATCTTTGATACTTCTTCTGCCAACTTGTTCATTTTCACTTGCATACTTACCGGTTTGAGGGAAATCAGACATATATCATCGTCAAAGTCCATATCCTTCAAGTTTTTTGTATGGATCCATTTTATGCCTGTTTCCTCACTGCCCACTAACTGTCTGTCGCATTATCCAGTCTACCGCAATCACAAAAGTCATTGGAGGCAGTGGGCAGCCAGTCAGCGTGGTCTTACTCCTGTTTTAACTTCGAAGGATTCCGTGAGTTTTCTGTTGTGGATTGCTTGGCATGCAGCATTGTTGTACAACTGTTGGATAAAATGTATAATTGTTGGCGGCAACCTGTGGTAGCAAAATAGTTTCCAAATCACCTCTCGATCGATGCTGTCGAAGGCCTTTTCAAAGTCGATGAAGTTAAGAAAGAGAACTAACTGCCATTCCAAGCTCTGTTCAATGATGAAACGTAGTGTTGCGATTCGATCAGTGCATGACTTGTTTCTCCTGAATCCAGCCTGTTCCAATCAAAGTTTTTCATCCAGGGCGTATTTGGTTCGCTCCAGGATGATACAGCTTAATATTTTACTTGTGATAGGCAGGAGCATAATGCCACCCCAATTCTTGCATTGACTCAAATCTCCTCTCTTTGACAGTTTGAATAGGTAGTCTTTCCTCCAATGCACATGTACCTTGCCCTCTTTCCACACCTCCTTCAGTATTGGTGTCATCAATTTCACTGATGTCTTGGGGTCCATTTTCAATGTTTCTGTGGGGATTCCGTCTGGTTCTGTTCACGAACAGAAATTCATTTATTCATGTTTGAGTATCACATGCGTCTTGAACATTTTTATTTATTGAACCATCACGTGCTGTATTTTCTACTTTCTACTGTTCTTTAATTTTCCCTCAGGGTAACTGGATTCATTTACTTAAATTGGCACGTTTACTACGTCTGGCAAGATTATTTCAAAAAATTGAACGTTACTCCCAATATAGTACAGTAATATTGGGTCTTTTAATGTGTATGTTTTTTCTTGTTGCTCATTGGTTCGCTTGTGGATGGTATTACATTGGCAAGGAGGAATCAAATTCAAAAATTACACGTGAATATAGTAAGTTGATTCATTTAAACAATAAATAAGGCATTTGTGAAAATATGTCAAAATCTACATGGTTAAATGAATTCATTTTATTTTATTGCAATGAGTTTTCCAATTAAGAAATGCAATCTAATATTTAAAAACAAAGTCCAATGAATTTTCATGTAAACTACTGCAAAATGTTAAACGAGTTATGATAAGTTTAAACTGTAACGACCTGAATGAACGACCCAAGTAAAAAGAGGCTGCGGCCTTGATCAACCAATCACATGAGCCCGTAGCATAGATGCGTAATTTTAAAAAGTTTTTAGAGGTATCATAGTGTTAAAAATGTGTCCCAAGAAAACCTCCTAATTCCTTATTGCAGTCTGCAGCGACAGTCGAAACCTATTTCTGCACATAAATTCATCCTAAATACTGTATAGCATGCTGTTCTGAGACCCATTCTCCGCTCTATAGCACCTATGGGCCTAAGACAGGAACGACATATCTTCTCGAACAGATTTTCTGTAACGACAGACAGGACATTTGTACATATGTTCATGAACACTGGCTTCATACCTCTGTAAAGACATTATTCCTCCACACCTATATGCTTCCTATAAGCCCATTATCCTTACAGTACACAAATTTTTCTTCTTGATGGAATCTGGAGTGTAATTCGTATACTGCATTTATATTTTCGCGTTTTCACCATGGGCCAACCTGACTAGTTGATCAAGGTTATTGCGTCCGTTTACTTGAGTCGTTCGTTTGGGTTGCTATAGTTCAGAGTTACCTAAGTTTTCAGTATTGTTCCCCTGGGTCCCGAGTGGAATGTAGGGCTTCAACAGTATTTATCCACTTCACCTTGTTCTCTGTAACCCTCTTCAGCTCATCCTTCGACTACCCGTAAGCTGTCATCTCCTCTTCATACGATCTCCCCAATGTTGTCCTCAGATCTATGTCGAACTCGTCGTTTCCTGTTAGGGTTTTCATTTGAACGATGGCCTGGCATACGATTCCACTCAACAGTCTCCTTAACGTGTGTCCAACCCATCTCTTTTTTTCTCAGAATATTTACTGAGCCATAGGGTTTTAGATAGTTCACTGCTACAGTTCCTTGTTACTGATCTTTTCTGCCTGAACATCCGATCTCCAATATGGGACCAGGAAAGGCACATGTTGACAGAAGTCTTCAGTAGGCTGTTGGAAGTGCTTTTGTGACTCAAGAAGTTTATGCTCCATATAGAAGCAATGATAACAATGGTGTTGAAAATCGGAATGTTTATCCTGATGTTGAGAATAAAGTCAAAATAATAAGTTTTAATTTAAAGTGACAAGAATGAAATGAACTTTAACTTAAAGCGAGAATAAGAAATAAAAAATTATGGGGACCATGGTGTGTCATCAATAATTATGTATGTGAAAATGTGTCGACATCAAAGATCCATGAACTACACAGTCTAATTCAGGCCAAAGGAAAGTAAGAGGTTGGTTGCGCTCTGCTTTTGTACGCATATTCCCAATAAAACCGGCTTCATTCAAACATTATCCAAATATCAGCCGCTGGGAAATACCTGAAAACAGGTTAAGTGTATTGTTATTTTGGTGAATGGTTACTATCAGTGAAATCCAGGATTTTCAACTTGTCAGCTGAACGTACCTGCATTCCGCAGTGAGGGTTGCTGTTCCCACTGAGACTCGAACGCCACACCCGTCGTTTTAAATACCAAAGCAATATCTACCAGGCTACCTAGACAAATAGGGCCAGCTCTTGCGCAACGACGGTCATTTATAATTTCTTTGATTTAATTCTCCCTTTCTCCGTCAGCTGATTATATTGCACTAAAATATTTAGCCTCTATCGACATGTAATTCTGTCACTTATAAGTTAGCCTGAATAATGCATAATGTGTCTTGAGTACGCCTGTTTGACTGCGAAGCTATCCAGGCTCTCAGTTAACAGTATCATTTGTCTAGTCCTTATTTCCTAGAGAATCCTAGAAGTCAAATTTCCCATGTAGCCACCTAGCTGCCTAACTTGATATCGTGGTGTACCTTCAGTTAATATTAGATAGTGGAAATCAGTTGAACAGGAAACCATGGATCGAGATATTTTGCATGTTGACACTCGAAAGAATTGGTGTTCAGCAGGGGTTTGACTTATTTTTTGTATGAAAAAGGCTCATAACAATGTGCAGCTTAAAAGTTTCACAAAATGAAATAAGTGGCGCAAACGTGAATCAGACTTTGTTTCATAATAATCTTGTGTATCTTCCTTCAATCTTCACTTGAATATTTGAGCATGTAATAATTCTGACGGCAATAACACTGATTTAGGTGACAGAAAGAGGGTTTTAAAACTTTTCATAGTCAGTACTTGTTATCAGTAATAAAAGGCACTATGTAGTTGCCTCAGAAAATTGAACAATACAAGCAGTAAGTTAGCTTATATGCTCTTAGCTAAATTGGCACCAAGACTGACAAATGAAAATACAAGGTATATACTACTTATGAGTCCGCTGAGATCGATGAATATTTTCGATGAGTAAGGATACTAATAGATTAGGAATATCAGCTGGTATATAAAACTACGTATTAGATGATTGGAGGCAATTGGTAGGACTTAGGTTTCGTTCTAGCTGGTACTTGTCGGCAAGACGTATCTGGAGTCATTCTGAGGGAACTCTTGTCCCTTCTGAGATTCAAACCCGTACCACCCAGTGATATAGTTTGAAACGTTACCACTGAGCTATTCAGGCCCGCGATTGACCTCCTGTGGGACTGTATTGGATATTTTGACTGGGCACTAGTAAATAGTGTGATGTGTTTAGTCTTTGTCTGGTGCAGACTGGATTCTACCAGTCGAGTTTGAGAAATGGCCACCATTCCACATACTGTAGATTGATTGAGATAAGTGGCTGTTTCCCACTGACATCAACCAGTAGTGCTTGCTATTCAGCATGAAAAAAGTGATCTGAACACCGGACAACCATTTCGATAGTTTGGGGTCAAGCTCATCAGTAGCTTACCCAGTTTGTCTCAACTCATAAGGTTGAATCATTTCAAATTACTCTATTTCTGCTAGCCACGTTGGCGATCGGGTAATATCATAAGTTAAATTCAAAATCTACAAATTATTTCACAATTTACACAGTTTGAGGAAGTGAAATTTCGCCATAGTTTCCATTGGAAATCAAAATTATTGAGATCACAAAATGCCATCTGCTTGACTCCATAACTGGTGATCCAGAAAGTAGAAATAAATGAGTTAAACTATATACTACTGATTAATTGAGATGATTAGTAGTTTACCACTCACATTAATCAGCATCAGCTGAGAGTATTGACTGTTACATGCATGTTTTACTACTTTATTAATATAAGTAGTTGTCTTACTGGATATATGTGTAACAATAAGGTAAATCTCAATAGAATTCCTAAAGTTGGTTTCGTCTTTCCCACTGCTCGTTTTTGGAATACGACGTCATATATGAACATTTTATAAGGGACAATTCTTACCATCCACTTAGCTGAAAACGTTTGTCTACATCAGATTATCCTGCGTCAGACTTTAGACAAATTAACCAATTAACTCATGCTTTTCCATATTAGTATTAGTGTTAGTAAAGTGGAAGACAGTAAAACCGGTTAGGTTAAATGTTTGTTAGGACAGAATATACTGGATATATTAGGAAAAGTCATAAAACTTACAACATTGATTTCAAAATTCGAAAATACTATCACCTTCTTTTAAATGTACTGGGTGTGTTTTGTACCATTTTGTGTATAGCTTATCAGATTATTCACACTATTTTTACCTTTTTCTTTCGTCTCTTCTTCAGAAATGTTTTCATTAGTACTTCTGTGAATGCATCACTTGATATACTACTTATATCTGTCTAGGATTACAACATACTACAATATTAATAGTAGTTGTAGTAGAAGCAGCAATAGGGAAGTATGTATGGGAATAAATATACCTATCTTTAGTTTTATTTCAGTAGGTAAAAGTGAAAACATACAAAACGCCAAAATATTGTATCATTCTCTAAACATAACTGAAGGAAAAACAATTAAGATGAAGAAATAAAAGTGTTAAGAGTGCGAAGTATTCTCATGTCATGTAGCCGGAAGATCCTGGATTCAAACTCTAGTGAGCGTATGTTGAATAAGAGTCCCAAACTAGGATGAAACAGCTAACCAATGCTCTCACGTATTCCAATGGTTCTCCAGCTGGTGTCATCTCGTAAATAAACCTGTAGATGTTCTTTTTAGTAAATTCTCTTCAAGATTTTACAATTATAAGTGATAATATTGATTATTACAATAAAAGTCGGTTATGTAACGGATTCATACTTACTCAGAAAAACAGATACGTTACATGGCGACAAGATGCGATGTATTTATGTAACAGACGTGCTGGGCTGAATTCAATTACAAAATGTGGGGAAATGCGAGATAATAATGGTGATTAGTCACAATAGTGTGGGGAAGGAAAACTGATAAGTCAGTTCAAGGTTGTGGAAGTTGTCTGATGAGTAGCTAGTACAAAACAGTACGTATTACACAGGTGACAGTAAGACTGTGTGGAGTAGCTCATCATGAAATAATCAGTATGTGAAGTGGAAAAAGAGATGAGACTACTAATAGTAAGTTAGAGTAATATAAATGGGGAATTCGATAATATTGAAAGCATGCTTCAGTGAAGTTCATGTAATTATAAAACATTGTGACTAAAACTGTTAGGACGAAGACTCTAGCGTCTATATGTTAATATTAGCCTTATGGTTAGATACTACATTAATAATTTAATAATTCCCATTGTAGCATTAAGAACACAATATTCAGCGAAGAGACTCTTTTCAACGAATTTATTATCAAGCTGTACAATCGTATATATATGGTTTTTTTAAGAAATTATATCCGGTGAGGGAATTAGGTCAAAGGTGTGAATACATGATCTAATCTTATAATTATGTACCCTTTTCCAAAATCTATACACCTTATGTATCATTCTATATACGACA